AGAGTGCTGAATTGTATAATCCAACAACACAAACTTGGACAACTGTGAATCAAATGAGTAATGCACGATTTCATCACAAGGCAGCCGTATTAACAGATGGAACAGTGTTAGTTACTGGCGGAATCGGTACTACTTATTTACAGAGTGCTGAATCTTATTAATCGATATAAAAGAAACGACATTTTTCTCGTAAATTAAAACAGAAACTTTGATCATAAAGTCGAAAAATACTGCTATCTATACGGAAAGCTCGTAATTCACTCATTTTTTTCTTTCGTTTTTTCTATTTATTGAAAAATCTGATCACTAACAAGCAATATGAAATATAGTGCTTCTTTTTTACTTCTGTTCTTCTTATTATTTATCTTAACTCTTGTTTATTTGTGATATTTCAATATCTATGTTAAATACCATCTTCGACAATTGTTTTACTTCTTTTTTTCTTTTCTTCTTCGTTTTTCTTTTTCTGTTCTTCAAATAAAATATAAATCAGTTTAATATATAATGGTCTCCTTTTGAATAAGATGAGTGTGTGTTGAGGGTGTCGGTGTGGGTGAAATAAAATACTCACACCCACCCTTTTAATACTAAAACAAGTGAATGAATGATTTTTATTATCAAAAATTCAATAATCATACTTGATGTAATGCCTGATCGGCCTCACTTAGCTATGCCGATCACCGTCTGTGAAGAGAGAAAGGAATTTTTTGAAAATTTTTACCTGTATATACTCCAAGCTCATACTTGTAATCAGGATTCCAAGCACTACTCAATCACACGACAAAATACTTTTCTTGATTACTCTTAGACGTATTTAGGAGTCTAAAGAGTCAAGAAATTTTTCGTTGTTAAGAAAACTATCCATGCAACTCTATTTAGGGTGAACTTCTAATTCTCTCCATACAAAACTTTTACATTTAAACATGCGATTCTGAAATGTGCATGGCGGTTTTCTTAAAGGATGTTCGTCTGATTTTTAATGATGTTCACTACCTTTCGATGAAATTGATAAACTTTCAGTTACTTTCTACTCTCAGTTCAGCAGGGTGTGGGTGTCGGTCTGGCTGTTGCTGTGGGTGTGATATAAATATGATATCTATACCCATACCCGCACCCTGGATGGTGTCGCAATTACGTTGCAACTGCGTCGCATTTTGATCGTAATAGAAAACATGAGTTGATACTTTTTTCTTTTTAACAAATATTTACATTTGCAGATAACTTTTTCCGAAGACTAGAAGATAAATAATAAAATATTAATTGTTTTTAATTTCAACTATCGGCCATATTAAATTAGTATATATGTAAAGTCGATAAAATAACTTCCATCACAAATTCTCTCTTAACAATGAACATCAAGACACTTCTGTTTCTTTTTTCATACATAATCTTAATTAATTCGAATAGTAATTTCTATTCAGTAAAAATAAAAAATATAAAACAATCCTATTTTCAACCACCTATTAATACACACCTCATTGATACATTAATCAATATTCCATCGATAATGAAATGTACTTTTATATGTGAACGTCATCATATTTGTCGTACAGCTGATTATAATATAACAACGAAAACTTGTCGTTTATTTGAAACACTTACATCAGCAGGTACATTTGTAGCTGATCCAACAACACATATTCTTGCATTCAATTATTGTACAAATGATGCACAAATTGAACCTAATTATATTTGTACTCGATCGAATACATTCACTGTTCAACAGATATTCGATCAATTTACTTTAGCTCCTAACATAACACTTACATCAACTGATCGAGGTGCTTATGCAAATATGTATGGTGTTTATGCAAGTACTTCATCTGGAACTTTATCATTTTTTACTTATACTGGTACAAAAAATACTCTCATTCAACTTTCGAGTGAGATTACTAATATTAATTCAGCAACTAATAATGGACTTGGAATTGTTCAATATTTGAATCAGTCAGTTAGTATTTACAAAAATATTGGTACATCATTTCAACCACAACTTGTTTCAATACTTAATATTTCATTATCATATCAACCTTATTCATGTTTGATAACATCACAATATATGTATATAGCGTATATGAATAGTTCTGTACTTATGACTATTCATGATTTATCATCAGGATCTATATTATTTAATATACCAAGTACTACTATGACTTATCAACCAGTTGTGAGCTATTGGAATGATACACTAATTGTTCTTGATCAATACGTAGCTACGGAATATACTTTAAATGGTACTTATAAAGGAAATTGGCCTTATTTTGCTAGTCAACAAACAACGCGACGTAATTATATTCATCATGATTATGCAGGCCGACGACATACATGCAATTATGGTGGATCATATCCTGGTATATATACATTTTTATTGAATGGAACACAACTTGCTCATGGACCAACATCATGTTCTAGAGCTATTCAAGTTTATATCACAAAAGACCAGGCAATGCTTATCTACACTCAATATGGAATTGCAGCAACCATGAACGTTATTAACTTTTAGTTAAATAAATTTTTATTTGAATAAAATATTTTTGCTGATTCAGAAAAAATTCATATAAAATTTATTTATTGAAAATATGAAAGTGAGAGTATGAGTAAGAATGTGAATAATCGATGAACACAGCATTCACGCCCATCTTCGCAAGAGCAATACTAGTAAAAAATTGTCAGGTAATGCATTTCAATAGTCTTCGAATATTCAAGATCAGCTATTGGACTTTCTTTCCCTGTATAAACTATAAAACTCCAAGTCTATCGATTTCAATGCTATATTTATGCAATTTATCCGGAATATATTGCTTGAAGAAGAGTCGATCTCTTGAGGGCACCATTATTTCGATAATAATAATAACGGAATTGGGTATATATACCAGGGTGTGGGTGTGTTATCATTAAGATACTCATACCACACCCCACATCGCCCACCCACATCCACACCCACACCCACACCCCAGAGATATCGAACAGATTATGCAGACTAGCAAAGAATAGGTGTTGAAGGAATTGACTTCAAGTTTTCGACATTCTTTCGAAATTAAATATAATATATTCACAATTAAGTCGTTGATGTGTAGGTAATTCTGACTTTTAAAAATGCTTTTCGAGACAGTTGTAATAAAAGTACCTATATACTGAGAATGTTAAGCAGATCTTGATTTTTTCTCTCGTAATCGACATATGAATATTGTGAAACTGATTCTCGCTTATACTTTCAAAAACAGGCATGACTTTTCACATTATCTATGATGAAGTATGCACAGGTAAGGTGAAGACAGAGATAAGTTACTAGTTGGAAGAAACATTCGTTTGCCTTTGAGAGAAACTGATAATAACTCATGAAATACGTGATATCTCGCATTCTTAAACTGAATATACTCCATTTATTCTAACTGAGAAGTTACAAAATAAAAATATGTCTCTTTCTTGTAGATTATTATCAAATATGGCAACTAATAGAATAGTTGTAAATGATGATCCTATCATTTGTAATATCTGTGGGAAATATTTTGTGGACCCACGTATCCTGCCCTGTTCACATACTTACTGTCTTGTATGTATCAAACAGAAGGCATCTACGACAGATGGACGATTTGAATGTCCGTTGTGTGATGAAGTACAAATCGAGAGTAATTGTATAAATTCATTGCCGTTGAATGAACTTGTACAAGATATAATTGAGTTACAACGTAAGTAAAACACTGCATATTGTTTGCATCTACATTTTACTCAATATACTGGCTTTCTAATATTTTTGTTGACACTCTCCTTCATTATAGCTTCACGGCAATGTTCAAATTGCTCATTACTCAATGCTACAATTGGATGTAGTAATTGTAATAGTAATTATTGCTTAGAATGTAGCAATATTGTTCATAGTCTACCTGCGTTCAAAAATCATACACTATGTCGTGATTTGATTGAAATGAATAGAATAATTCCATGTTCAAAGCATCCAGATGAAAAGCTAAAATATTGGTGCAAGAATAACATGTGTGAAACACTTATATGTCGAGATTGCATATTGTTTGAACATAAAAATCATGACTATGTATTCGTTCATGATGTCATCGATGAATTAAAAACTAAGGTTAGTCAGATGATATTCTTCTTCTTCTATTCATATTGTTTTGATTATTCAGTTTGATAATAACTTTCAATTAATTCAATCTATTTTAAATCATGGATTTAAACAAGTGGAAACATTGAATATTGAGGTAAATCATGTCAAGCAAATAAATCAAACACGTATCAATGAACTTGCCAAAACTATACGACAAATCATCGATGATTATGAAAAAACAGTCATTGAACAAATCGAAGAAAATACAAATGGTGACAAAAAACAAATTGCAGAATATGAAAAACATCTTCAAAATCAGCAACAAAACTTGAATATGCGACGAGCACTCTATAAAACTTTGAAATTAACACATAATCATACGAGATTTCTACAACTCAAACAAGAATTACTTGGTTATATAAACAAGGCATGTGTGGATTTAGATCGACTAAAACTACCTGTTGCAACTAATTGGGATATCGATGATTTTAACAAACTCAAAGAGAATATTCTTCAATTCGAACATGTTGATGAAGCGACACAACATCAAAGTGGTGATCCTAGTAAGAAGATACAATCCAAACATTACCTAAGTTGTGAGGTGTCAAATGACAATATAAATGTTGTGATTGACGCATTACGTAATAATAAGGTGAGACTATATCGTATATTTTTTGTTGGATCAATCATTTTCTTGAATAGCCACTTACGAAATTGACAATCGATGGCAGTGAAATAGAAGATGATGCTTTTCAACAATTGGCTCATGCATTAAAATTCAACGAAGTAATTTATTGATGACTTTATTTTAATAGTATTCAATTTCGTCTGATTACAGACACTTCAAACATTAAACCTGAATAACTATAGACGCAACGGAAATTATCTAGAACATCTATCCGAAATATTACAACAGACGAAGGTAAATGAACAATTCATTTTTCTTCTACTCTATTTGTCTTTCATATTAAATAGACTCTTACTTCTCTATGCCTTGAGAAAAATAATATGGAAGACGATGGAATGTATTATCTGGCCAATATATTACCATATAATACGGTAATCTATTACTTCGTTTAATCCGTATGAAAAACTTTTTCAATTCAAAGACATTAATCAGACTTGATCTATATAACAATAATATCGGATGTAAAGGAATTGAACATCTTGCTGATGTATTACGACAAAACAAAGTAAATCGTTATATCTATTTTCTATTTCCAAATTCATTCAACTTTATTTCTGTAAATAGAGCCTTGAAATACTCTGTCTATCTGACGATGAATTGGGAGATACGGAAATATTGATTCTTGCCAATGCCTTACGATGCAACAAAGTGATAAAAATTTAAATTTTTTAAACTTATAATCTTCCATTTGTTTTTCAAAGACATTAACTGCATTTACTTTTTGCAACGATCAAATCAAGACTAACGGAGCAAAGTATCTAGCCAATGCACTAAGACATAACAAGGTAAATGAAGATAGTCTCTCTTCTTATTCAGTTTCGTTGACTTTCAATCTAGACGTTAAGCAAATTAGGGCTCATCACCAATCACATCGAGGATGATGGTATTCGATATTTAACTGATATTTTGATAGACAACAAAGTACTTCAGTAGTCAGTTTATTCTGCGTTATATTGATACCAACTTGAATTTTTTAGACTATCACCGCATTATTTCTCGCAGATAACAGATTGCAAGTAAACGCAATTAAATATTTGACCAATGCATTGCGCTACAATCAAGTACAACATTTCTCATACTATATTTTTTTATTGATTGTTTCTCTTTACAGACTCTTCTCACTTTGAGTATTTTCAATAGTGAAATTACAAATGAAGGGATTAATCATTTCGCTAATGCACTACATGGAAATAATGTCAGACGAAAATGACAAAACAATTAACATATTCTTTAATCTATACATGTATTTTGTTTTTCATTTCATAGACTCTTACGACGCTAGTACTTGGTAAAAATGATATTGAAGCTGAAGAAACAAAGCAATTAGCAGATGCGTTAAAATACAATACAGTAAATTATAATTTTTCTTATCTCTCTTTCGTACTGATATTTTATTATTTCAGACACTAAACATGTTAGTACTCTCTTCAAATAATATTGGAGATGATGGAGCACAGTTTTTGAGTGATGCTTTACGTCATAATAATGTAATTTCGATATACATCACTTGATTATATCTAATTTGTTGTCGTAGGTACTTACCACATTAGGTCTTTCCAACAATGAAATCAAAGCCGAAGGTGCTGATCATTTAGGAAATGCACTACGAGAAAATCAGGTAATTTAAACGTTACTTTTCTCTATATTATACAGATTTTATGTTCACAGAAACTGACGACACTAATTTTATCAAAAAATGAAATACAAGATGATGGAATACGATATATTGCTGAAGCATTGAAATATAATAATGTAATTCACCATCTTAATTCATACATATATTTATTTTGTTTTTTGTTAGACACTTACTGTATTAATTCTCTCCATGAATGATATCAAAGAGAATGGAGTGATGTACCTATGTGAAGCATTGCAAATGAATTATGTAAGTCAATATACTGTTGTCTTTCTATTTTTCAAATATTCACATTATGATAAAAGACACTCACAACTTTAATCATCATTAAAAATAATATTTCAAACAATGGTATCAAATATATAGCTGATGTACTACAGCATAATAAAGTAACTTTCAACAATTTGATGAATTCTTTTTTATAACTTTGTTGTCAACTACAGACGCTGATAAACTTAGGCCTTTTCGATACTGGTATAAAAGATGATGGTGCTAAGTATCTAGCCACTATATTAAAATATAATCAAGTAATGGAAAAGTCTATTTTTAATATGCTGCTATTCTTTTTCCTTTGTACAGACCCTGCAGAGATTAGCGATTTACGAAAAAGAATTGGAAGACAATATAAAACAATATTTTATTGAGGCATTGCAAACGAACAAAGTCATTTTATTTTGTCTATGTGATCTCTCATATTTATTCTATCTGATTTTTAGACATTGCAAAGATTAGGACTGTGTAGTGAAAATACAATATATGATGATGTACAGTATTTAACTGACATGTTTGATGAAGATAAGGTAATTAAAATTGTAAAAACATTTTCACATATATATGATGTTCTTACAGGTAGTGAGCGAGTTTGATATTGTTCAAAATGAAAGAATCCTTTATCGTTTCGAACATTTGACACATGTCTTGAGAGAAATTGAAGTAATTTATCGAATTTCTATATCTGTTCTGTGTTCATCTATTTTTTTTTCATAGGAACTTTCCGTTTTGATTAATTATTTGGATGAAATTGATTGCCATCTGCCTATGGACATGTGTGACATAATCAAAGAAATTTTAGCAGACTAAAAAAAAGCACCAACAACGAATTAATTCTCTTGTTATTATGAACAGTCTTTACTATTTGCAATAAAACAAAATACTAATATAAACATTTCATCAATCAATCGTTTTTATTTTCGTGGGTGTGGATGTGAGTATGGAATGAGATGAGAGAGAACATCCACACCCTCAAGATTATCTATAAAACTGAAGAAATTGCACACAGCATTTATAAGAAACTACTTGAAAGTATGAAATGTATAGAACATTTAAACACTTTACTTTTAGAAAAAATGAAATTATTTAATTATTGTGCAATGAACTGAAAGAAAATCATGTCACAGAAGATATAATGGTTATTGAGGATTGAAATCTAACTTGATATTTTCTAATGATGATGTTTAGTTGAAATTTAGTCAAGAATGAAGTATATAATCTCTTATTTCTAAAAACAGGTAGAAAATAAAATGACAGATGTGTGTATCGATATCCATTATATTTCTAAGGACTCCTTCTTCATTAATTTGTACTAATATTTTACATTGATTGAAAACTCGAAAAAACAAAAAAGAATATTTCATAAATCTGTTAATGACGAGATAATTGCGTCGAATGAATATGAGAATATTGTGGAAGTGCGTCAGTGAATGTTGAATAATACAACACATCTGCTAAAAAATATCCAAGTTGACGTCAAAAGTCAGACTTTACTTTTCTTAAAACGGAACAAATGAATTTATTCATATTAATAAAAACACTTTTATCCCAAGGACGTCAAATAAAAGCTATATAAATATCAAGTATTTTATTCATTGTATTTTATATAGAAAATGTTTCATATGAAATATGTATTCTATTTGATTTTTATTAATTGGATTGTTGCTATACCACAAATCAATCTTTATTTTACAAATCAAGTAAGTGAAAGTGAAAATTATGATGAAATTGGTATACGATACAACTGCATTCGTCTTGCTTCAAATATGGATCAAGAAGACTCTACTCGACAAATCTCGTCTTATTGTATGAGTGAATCATCATTGAAATTTCATATTGAAAATGATAATACATTTCCAACATTTTCTTTTGCTAATCTTGCAAAAACGAACATTACAAGTGAAGATTTATATTTCTGGTCGACACCAATTGATATTATTGAACAATATCAAATCTATTTACTATCAAATGATTCGTCTTTAGCGGAAAAAATCTTTTATAATTGTACATTACCAAGATTTGGATCAATGTGTCAATATGAACTTTATATATATCATGAAAATTATTCATCATTATATGAAATGATTTCTAGTTATTATAAAAATTATCTTTATGATCCAACTAATCTAACTTGTTATACACATGTACAATGTCATCGTGGTTATTCACCAGCATGTTTAGATTGGACAGAAATTTGTGATGGTAAAGTTGATTGTCTTGATGGAGAATATGATGAAGAACATTGTTGGGAACTTGAATTTACTGAATGTGAACCAAATGAATATCGATGTAATATTGGGCAATGCATACCAGACGAATTTGTTCAAGATGATACGAAGAATTTTGATTGTATTGACAGATCTGATGAACGTGTGAGAAAAAACATTGAACTAGAAACGTTTTTAGCAGCTGAACCAGCATTTGCACATGATGATACAATCTGTCGATTTATATTTGTGACAAGTTCTTGTATATATTCGCGCGAATCAACATTAATAGAATCGATGTTTTCAATTAAAGATAATAATGTATCAGATGAATGTTGGTCAGCTTATAAATGTTACTTTGCTATTAACACTGCAGAACATCCAAATCTTATAACTTACAAGATTATCAACGAAGAGTGTATACCTATTATAAGAAAAACATGTCCAGATATGTTATATGTTCCCAATATTCCCATTTTATTTGGTCATGTTTATACAGCTTACAAGAAAAATGAGTTACTAGATCCTCAAGTTTTCTTAAATTTGCCTTATTTATGTTCGAACAAATCTTTTTATGATGATTCACTCGAACTGGTTTTAGCTACGCCATTGAATAATACAATGTGTTTTAAATTGTCTCGATTCACACCTTGGTCGATACCGCTACTTTTTATACCTGATGTCACTTCTCAATTTCAGAAACCTAAGGACAACGTTTTTCAAATAATAAAAAATCATCATGCAATAATTAATTTTCCTCGACATCGATGTAATGAATCTAATTTCTATCAATGTAGTAATTCATCCAAATGTATTTCATTTCATCGTTTAATCAATGGTGTAACTGATTGTCCTTATAATGATGATGAAAATATATATGAAGATACAAATCCTGAACTATTCACACAAGTCAAACACAAATATTACAAATGTCACGTCACCAACAAATATATTGCTCAATTAGAAGTTTCAGATGGTAAGTGTCACTGTGGCCTTGATGAATACAATTTCTGTGAAGATGAAGATATAATCGAAAACTTCACTCGAAGAACTCTATCTTTTCAGACAACTTGTGATGATTTTCAGGAGTTATATTCAATAACAATTGATAGAAAAAATGAGACAGATGAAACTGAATGTGAAGAATGGGAATGTGACAATATATATACTCATTGCGATGAAATATGGAATTGTTTAGATGGTAAAGATGAAATGAATTGTGATTATTCATTACCACCATTAATTAATTGTTCGTCAGATTACCAAAAATGTGTAATATTAAATACGTCTGAATTAACATGTTTACCAATTAATAAAGTTAATGATGGTATATCCGATTGTCTTGGTGGTACTGATGAACGAGCATTATGTCAACCACTACCATATACTAATTTATACGGACAATTTGCTTGTCAGAGAACTTACAAACCAATATGTCTTTTACCTTATAATTTATGCGACGGTTTTGCATCGTGTTTATATAAAGACGACGAACGATTTTGTCGAACAAATAGGTCATCTCTCATATTCCGTAGTGTTTGTCAAATGGACGATACACGATCGCTTTCTTATGTTGAAAAATTTTTATGTGTTGCTGCAAAGATTAAAGCTAGAAACAAAATAGAATATTTTACGATTGATGGATTCAATCAATCATTTGAAAATAAAATAAATGAAAATCAACAAATTGATGTAATATATACAGACGTCCTTGATGAATCTTCTTGTCATCGTGGTCTTGATTTACGTGTCTGGTTAAATAAATCATCAAATATTTTTACAAGCACATGTCTTTGTCCACCAAGTTATTATGGCAATCAATGTCAATATCAGAATCAACGCTTAGTTTTATCAATAAGATTTCAAGTTTCAGCTCAATCAAGACAAATATTATTTGCAATCTTAATTATGCTTATTGATAATACAAATCAACGAATGATTCATTCATATGAACAATTTACTTATTTATCTATACGAGATTGTAATGTTAAATTTAATGTTTATTTAGTTTATTCAAATCGACCAAAAGATATGAATAAAAATTATTCAGTACATATTGATATTTATGAAAAACTTTCTCTCAAATATCGAGCAAGTTTTAATTATCCTGTCGAATTTTTATTTTTACCTGTTCATCATTTAGCATTTATTATAAATATCCCATTAGAAGATGATTATTCTTGTTCAAATAAGAAATGTCTTCATGGAAAATGTTTAAACTATTTTAATACAAAAGAAACATTTTGTCAATGTGATGATCAAGGATGGTTTGGGAAATATTGTGATATTCCACACAATAACTGTAATTGTTCATCCAATTCAATATGTATTGGTCGGGCAAGTGATAATCAATCAATATGTATTTGCCGAGAATATTATTTTGGTTCAAAATGTTACCTTCGAAATCGAATATGTGATAATTCCCCATGTCGAAATAATGGTTCATGTATTCCATATGATGATTTTATGTTAACGAAGATTCAAAAATATTTGTGCATATGTCCAAAAGGTTTCAGTGGGGATCGATGTGAGTTAATTAATACTCAAGTTGATCTTATATTTGATAAAAATATTCATTTATCTCATTCAATTTTTATTCATTTCATAAGAATTATACCAGAAAAATCTCCAGAAAGATCAACAACTTTACAAGTAATATCTCAAGCAACAAATTCTATTCGAATTTATTGGTCACAACCATTTCATCTAATGTTTATTGAAACATTAGAAAAAATGTATTATCTAACTGTTATTCAACCAGTTCATAATTATTCAACAAAAATAACTCAAAGAATTAATTCATCACATCATTGTCCACCGATCAATAAATTAGTTAATGACACATTTGCTCAACTTCATGTTATTCGTCGTATGAAATATTATCATTCATTAATTTGTCAAAAATATTCACCAAATTTATTATGTTTTCATGATGATATTCATATGTGCTTATGTTATGATTATCAGGGAAAACGTTTGGCAAATTGTTTTAA